TGTTCAAGGAGCATTAATGAGACGTCCAATTTTGTTTATAAGTTACATAATTAATACAAAAATAATATTTACGTAAAAAAATTAATTACGTTAAAAAATAATAAATAAGTTTAAAAAAATTAAATTTTTTATATTGAAAATTACAAAAATCAATACATTAAATTAAATTTAATTTAATTCTTTATTTATTTTGTCCTTGTTTTGTAAAAACAATTCACTTTAATTTTTCCATTTCCAATAATCGAGAACTGCCAATTTGTAGAAAAATCTTAAAGTTAATTGCGCGAGTCCCCTATTTTCCGAGGATTGTTTTTTAACAAAGTTTACGTATCATTTAAGAGGTAGAAAGGTAAAGTGGTATCTCTTGTTACGTAACACGATAAAACTATATCACTTATAGCTTTTTGCTCTTTATCGATTGCAAGAGAGCAAAGGAGAAGTGAATGTAGTGATACGAAGCAGACGAATGTTGCTTCGGTTTGTAAGTTTCTTTCGTAATCATCTCGTTAGTATCGTCGATGATCGAAACTCGAAGTATTGTACACGTCGCTACGGCCGACACAATTCGAAAAATAAAGTTCAAGCGACCGGAACAATATCTTACGTCGTAACATATGTGAGCAGCGTATCAGCGTCGCAGAAAATATACATACAGACAGAATGAACAGTCAAGAATCAAGCGCGTACAGACACCAATATTTTACCGAAGCCTTACGCCCTCTGAGGGAGAAATATAGTAAAGTTGATATAGAAAAATTTATATGATATTAAGAACCTCGAATCTCTGATTGTGGATTGCTGAGTCACCAAGTCGATCAATCGTATAAATTTTTTTATCTTCCAAATTTTTCAAATTTTATGTTACACTCATCTATTAAAAATTGTATAAAGTATAGTCAAAAAAAAATTATGTAATTTCGATTCTAAAAAATGCAAAGAATGTGTGTGAAAAGTATCAAATTTTGCGTCTCATGAGAATAACATTCATAATTAATTGGATTTCCTTAAGTTTTTATCATCAAATAACGAAGTTACAGAATTATCTAACTTTTAAATCACTTATGTATGCAAATGTTCATGACTAAGAATACAAATATTTATGCAACTTCCTAAATAATTTCTCTTTTTTATAATATATGTAAATCATATATACTCCCTTGAAATTCAGTAGCATGGAACGAGATTTACAAAGTTCCATCGCTTAAAGTTTCGAGGCTCTTTTTTTAGTAAAAATCCTGTCAATATATATTCGTTAGCATCGTGAAAAATAGGTTCACAGCATATATATATCGCAGCATTCACATGACAAGCTGAATCGATTATAATTAAGTTAATCGATTCGCCGCATTATTAGCTACAAGTGATTCTTAGATCGAAGAAAAAAGATAGACAGTGGCTGTAGCAAAACTCGTAGAACCAATTGAAGCCGTAAAATAGGTAGATAGAAATAGAGAGAGAGACAGAGAGAGAGAGAGAGAAAGAGAGAAAGATGGAAAGAGAGAGAAATAGAGACAGAGAAAGAGTAAAATATGCCTTCAATAGCTACAATGTGTCGTACAAATACATAATGACCGCAATTATTTCTTTCATCACCTCGCCAAATCAGGAGGTTTGAGCGCTCGCAATTATAACAAATTAACTCGAGAACAAACACAATTCGATGTGAAGTAAAATATTGCTACACTAAATGCTTCATAATGAGCTGCGCTTTTTGGAAACTACATCTATTTACTAATCGTACGATTGAAACCTGTTATAAATTTTCTAATAAAATTTCAAATGTCTCATAAATTTCATAAAGTCTCGGATAAATCTGGATTAATATTATAACATGTAGAAATAAACATTCTAAGACGAACTGATTTTAATTTTTTTTCTCACGAAATTGAATGGATCGAATTGAATGGATCATGTTCAAATTTTAGACTATTTTCACGAAACACGATAAAGAATAAAAAATTATTTTAAATAATTTTATATTTTTTCTATTATTTCAAAAATATGTATTTGAAACTGTCTCTGTATATTATGACGAAGCTTCTTTCACAAAATTACAATCTTTTTCTCTTTATAAAGTAAGGTATATAGATACGGAAGTTCCATAAAGTCATTATCGAAATCCGTCGTGAGTTTTATGTCAAGATTTTGATCTAATGATTCTTTCAATATTTTTTTGATCATATCAAGTCTTCAGAAAGATTTCCTCTGAGTAGATTTCAAGTTATTGGAAATCAAATTATTGAATCAAACAAAATTATATTTAATATTTCCTTAAATTTGATAAAAAGATTTGTTAAGATTTTTTATATTTATATACAAGTTGCCAGAAAAAAGGTATTATTAAATTATTGTTTTATAATTATAATTAAATATATATAAATATAATTGATAATTACCAAATTGTTGTTTCACATTACACACACACACACACACACATTCACTCACTCACTCACTCACTCACACACATGCATACACGAACATGTCACACTTTATAGAATTTCACTATAATTTATTCTACAATAATCAAGTTTTTTTAATAACAGAACAAAATTTTAAAATAAATTAAATTAAATTTTCTTTTAAAATATCATATTATTGAATCATTTATACATATTAAGAATTATCTATTTCAAGATTTTTTTATGTAACTAATAAAATTATTGTGTGTGATCAAATTGCAAGGCAACTTTTCTTTCATTACAACGATCTGAAACATCACGACGGTTCCGATATGTGATATATCATAAGACATTTAAGGCAGTTAGCATTTTTGCCTTCTCGTCTCTTTTGTTATCATAACTAAAAATCGAGTGCAAATGGGCCAAGTAATCGCGAAATGTTTCGTATGGTAGTAGAAATATTATCCGACTATTTTTCGACATATTATACAAATTACAGAAAAATGAGGTAATATTTTAAAATAATATATATGAGAATACGAATAAAACTGCTTGACAACTAAAGGGAGTTCTTTTATGTTTACGTCACAAAATAATAATAATAAAGGCTTAATTTGCAATTTTTTACATCAATGAAACTAAGTGATCGATTTATATAAATTAAAGTATCCAGTGTATGTTACATTAAAAAATTAAAGATACAAAATAAAATATAAATATTACTGTACTTTATTATTTTTAATATAATAATAATTAACCATTTTTAATATAAATAATATATAAATAATAAAATATTATATTTCGTATAAAAAAAGAAGTGTTTACTTTATATTCGCAGTACAATTTAAGCCCTTATGCGCGAATAAATCAATTTTATATTATAAATTCACATATGTCAAATGTATATTTTTGGGCTTTGCTCCCTCCAGCTCGATAATCAATGTTATTTATGAATATTCTATGATGAGCTGCGGACAAACGTTAGCTTGAACGCGTTTCCGACGTTTGAACGGCGATACTCGCGTTTAAACGAGAGAAAAATGCGACGCATCTCTGAGAAAACTTCGAGCAGGCTGTTATCCCGAACAAGTCGAGCGTGTACATAAAGTTCATGTAAACGATCGATAGGCCGCGTACGAACGTACGCATAATAGGATACAAGCATGCTCATAATAATACGCGCATCGACGTTCAAACGAATCGATCGATTCAATATAACGAGCAACACTATCCTCCGTCGTTGATTTCTGCCCCAAAAAACCACTTTAGCATGGCATTAAACGAAAGCGATATTTCAATCGTGGAACAACCACCATTACCTTATCTCGAGAAAGTTTAAGAAGTAGAGTAAATTCGCGGCAAAATAAATAAACATGTCTATTCAGAAAACGTACTTGCTTTTTAAAAAAGTTACCATTTAAAAAAAATGAACACACATTATTATTAAAATAAAGCCTGTAAAAGTTATCGATTTGCTCAGTAAAAAATTTTTCTTTAAATTTTATAAGTTATAAAAACTATATTATTATTATGATTAATCAAAATTAAAGGTCTAACTTGAATTATTGAATTTATTTGAAGAATTCATAGGGCATAAAAAACATTTTTCAAAGTTGAGCTCTTAAAAAAATAACACGAGATATCATCTAGAGTGCCATAAAGAGAAAAATTTCGCGAATAAATGCTACCTATGCCACCGTGGGTCATTTCTCGGTGTCTTTCGGGACGCAGGAAGATCAACGGCCGGAGAACACTTTACACTCGAAATATTCACCGTCTCGCGGCTCGAGGGACACGTATATCTGAGGCTGTCTCGCCGATAGTTTCGTTCTAATGTACGAGCCTTGGCAAAACCGGCGGGTTGGCGGCTCCGAGATTTGGCGAAACGAGCTATGCGAAACGAATAACAACGAAATCCGCGATCATACTTTGGGATTTGTCGAAATACGAAGGACAAATATATGAAATATCACGGCGCCGATTTGGTGGAGAGATAAAAATGAGAGGTAAAAATTCAATTTCTCTGAGAAGTTAATAAAATAAAAGAAAAAAAAAACTTAATATCCTGCGACGATACAATAAAAAAATTTTGAAGTTTTATAGAATTTTATAGAGTTCTTTTCCATGTGTTATGTACTTGAAAAAATTAATTGATGAGAAAAGTAGAATCTTTTTGTGCGTTTCGCAAAGCTCATATACGCTCGAGTAAAGAATGAAGAAAACATAGTAGAAGAATACAGTTAGCAACGTTTCTATGAGAATATTGTTTTATTTACTTAATTTAATATATTCCGCATTCTGTATCATAATTTTTATTACCACACAAGCGGAACATTTAGCAGAAAATGTAATTACGGAGGTTTGCATATTCTCATGTTTCTCGTAAAAGGCGCTAGCTGCATTTATCCACAGAGAAACCGGATCAGAATGGAAGAATTATTTGTTGACGATGCATAAAATAGAACGCGTTCTTTGATAATAGCGCGATTTTCGAGATATTCGAGATTTTCGATATTGCGCGCGGATTTATAGAAGACTCTTTTAACCGATAAATGTTCAAGTGACTCGACTGTACATGAAGAATATGTGAGGATAACTTACCAAACCGACGAGTAGAAAAAATACTAGGAATGTGCGGCCAAGGACCGTCTGGCAGAAAACGTCGCCATATCCTACCGTGGACATCGTCACGATCAGAAAGTACACACAGGTCCAGTACGAAAGCTGTTGCGGGTTCGTGAACTCGAAAGGGTCCCCTGAGTTTTCAAGCTGCGGACACGACGTTATTACGTTCAAGTTCATCCCGCCAGTAAAATAAAATTGCGGTTTAAATTGGCGGATAATAATAACCATAAGCTTTTATTACTGCATAATAGTATAAATGCGGAACATATCCGAGGAATGTGGTTCTTATATTTTTGCGCATATATCCTGGGAAAAATGCGAGAAAAAAATATATTATCGAAAACAAATGAAATTAAATTCCTTTTACGGGAGATCATATAAATTATCATAAAGAAGATTGAAAATGATAGAAGGCGTAAAATTATGTATCTCTAATTACACAGGCCTGCAAAAAAGGGGATCAAAATTTCTTTTTAAGATGCAATAGTGATTTTTGACATAATTTTGTGCACTGAATTCGAATCTGGCCGCCGAATTTGCGTAGCACGTCAGGTTTTTGAGTTATTTGTAGTTGAATAGCCCAAAAATCGCTATTTTGGCCAATTTTATGAATTTATTGTGAGTAAACCAAATTTTTTGAAATATTTCTGTCAATGGCATCGTATAGTACTCACTTTCATCTTTCGAATCCACTTTCGATTACCGCCGCACGATTTTTTTTTGCTCAGATATACAAGTTATAAGACTGGTCATGCAGAGAGATTTAATAAGTCATTCTAAATCAACCGTGCCACCTCTCTATTTCACTACGAATCAAAATTAGGATAAAAATATACATTTTTAAATACCTTCTGTCACCTTTTGAAATTAAAAATGGCGCATCCAATATGGCGAATAGAATCACAATAAAAAGGCATAAAATTTAGAAAAATTTATCAAAATGTGTAACAACTGTGTTAGACATTTCTTTACAATATTTTTTTGGCCAACCGAACCTGACATATGTCAGTCTTTTCAAATTTCAAGATCATGGATCTACCATATTGATGTCTATATACATTTTCTTTAACGTAAATTTTCTTACAACGTCATACTTATATGTCTCAGCGAAAAAAAATTGTGCAGCGGTAATCGAAAGTGGATTTGAAAGGCGAAAGTGAGTATTATATGATGCCATTGGCAGAAATATTTCAAAAAATTTGGTTTCCCCACAATAAATTCATGAAAATGGCCAAAATAGCGATTTTTGAGCCATTCAATTACAAATTACTCAAAAACGTGACGCTACGCAAATTCGGCGGCCAAATTCAGATTCAGCTCACAAAATTACGTCGGAAATGACTATTGCATCTTAAAAACAAAACTCGCAGGACTGTATAATTCAAGATTCAAGATAATTAGAGCAATATATTAAACAGTTGTTATTTAGATAATGCACAAAAAAAAGATTGTCTCACCAAATGAATGATGCCAGCAGCGGTCAACCAGACGGAGATGAAGATGGATACGAGTTGGGCGAGACGAATAGAACTCGATGTCTTTAGAATGTTGAGGTACTGGAGGATGTCAGGGACCGTCATCAGTCGTAGGGCTCGGAGGAACCTCAGTCCGATCCACGTCCGATCGAGATATATCGACACAAAGGACGGTGGTATCGTAAAGTAGTCCACGAACGAATACATCTCCAGCATGAACCACAGCTTGTCACTGGCGGCGATAAACTACGCGAATCGTAGAAACGAGAAATATATTTACATACGTAGTTTACTTATGACAGATCAATTAGTTATACAAATATTATCCTTCATGAAAGAACCATTTCAAAAAACTTTCACAGAATATAAATAGAAAAGTTTTACAAAGCGCTCTTTTTATAAACTTGAATTATTTTTCGACCATTCTAAATTTTAATGAAAACTTTTTTTTTCAACTTTTATCTTTACAATATTAAAAAAAATTATGTAAAGATAAAGAACAAAATATAAGCAATATTAAGGTAACAGTTACATAGAATTTTTAAATTGTTAGCATTCTATTTAAAATCGAGTTTTCATATTAGTAGAGAAATTGAACGATGAAATGGATGATCTTACTTACGCGTATAAAAAAGTAGACCATAAAAAATATATTGAAAGCTAAGTCTATCTGCTGAGTAATGTTGTTGCTCCACTTCTGGCAACGCTCCACCTCTTCGCTGTAACATGAAAGCATGAGATCGCGGATGTTAGGTCAGCATCTCTTACGCGAAGGTCTCGGTCTTAAAAAAAGCAACACTGAGAGAGCGATTAAAATAGCGGCGATTAAACTAGCGATTATCCTTCCGCAAAATAAATTAAACTCCGCGAGAACAAACTCTATTACATATTATTATTCAGCATCGCATTTCCAATATTACACAAAATATTAAATATTTGTAAATGTTAAAATAAAATTCAAGTAAAGGCAATTCAAGTAAAGAAAATTATATATTAATCATCGATAATTACATCAAATAATATAGAAATTAATAAAACCATAAAGGTAAATACACGACAAGAATATATAAAAAATATAATAATATAAAAATTTCTATATTATTTGATGTAATTATCGATGATTAATATATAATTTTCTTTGATGACTTAATTTTATAACTAAGCTCTCAATGCCTTTATTTGAATTTTATTTTATCTTTTATAGTGAGCTGATAAATTATAATTATTTGTAAATGTGTTCGAGAAACTTAAAAGCTATGCATCTAATATCTATTACTCACCTGGAGGCATCGATGAAGTATATTATAAGCGACGCTATACTGAGAATGAAAACTAACACCACCTGAAACAGACAATAAAATACACAAATGAAATAATTATTAATAAATAGATAAATAGATAATTAAATAGATAATTGCTCTTATGCATATACAATTTCATTAAATATAGAAATAAGATTTGTACTTTTTATTATCTTTTATTGTGCTTGCAACTCTCTCTTCAAAATCATAGCTGCATTTGCACCATTTCAAACATCCATGTTCCTTTAGAAGATATGACGTGTAATGTTATTTCTCGATTAATCCTTCAGTCGGCAATAACGAAAGGCAATCAAAATCGCACAATGGAAGTAATGTTCACGTAACTTCATATAACTCACGTAAGTATCTTTGCGAATATTTTCATTAAACTGCAGTATCGCTTTATCTTCGATATGCAACACGCGTAAAATCTAGCCGATAGCTGTCAGTATAAATGTAAAATAATGTTTATGGTAAGCGTTAAGTCTCTTTATATTCACTTTATACTCAGTATACAGACTATATGCAAAAATGCTGTAGTTTCTGACGATATTATTAACAATCGCTATAACATCAAATTAGTCTCAACAGAGGGTTAAAGTTACGTGAATTCTCGAAAACAAACGCACTAACGACCCGATTAAGTTGCTCGTTAAGTGACTAGTGTTACTAATTACCATCATTGTTTCAAAGACAAACGGTTCATTAAATCGTAGATATTAAAGTAATTTGCACAATGAGTAAGTAATTTGTGTTAACCTATTGGTTAAATAGGACTATTTGCAGTCACAATAATTTGCAATTCCGCAATTAAATAAAAACGGAAAGTGCTTGGCACGTGTATCGGAATAATACTGCGGAATAATTAAAATCCAATATTGTTAAATGGCTTCACGCATAAAAACAAATAATATTTAAGTTTGAAAAAAAGGTGAACAAAATAAAAATTCTCATTGTGAATTTCATTATTTAGCAAACAATGAAATGCAAGTCATGTAACTCGAATTGTGAAAATCGAAACATGAAAGAGAAAGAATTTATCTCTCGCGCAAAATATTTAAATATGCATCGCGCCGGAATAAAATTACGGGTTGCACAGCTATAATTTTTATAAACAATAAAATAGATAATTATCTAATTAATTTTCTATGATTAATTATCTACAATTTTTATAAACAATAAAATTAAAATTAAGCTCAATTATGCGCGATATGCGTAATTGTAATTATTACTATGTAATGCGCGCAACACGAGGTCGATAAGCGTCCGCATACAGGATTGTAAGCTATGAATCCATTAGTACTCTGGCAATCCTTATTATCCCTATATCAAAAGGATATGCATAATGACAGTTCGAATGGCATTTATGTAGTTTATGATTAATCATCGACAAGTTACATAACTAGGCAAAAAGACACGCATGTATAATGCTCTTCGAGGAATTAATACACATGGCTACACATTAAATAAAATATTAATCCATCTTAAGATAATTATCATTCTCTCTTTCTCTTTTTGCACATGTTTCTTTTCATACTTCTTAGCCCTGCGAAAATATTCGATTTATTTAAATGGAAATAACGAATGGTTTCCACGGAATGTAATATTCTTATAAGCGATTATATCGATATTCATATTTTATGGCGCGAGATATCTGTTCTATATTCATTTGAGATTCTCCGGCTATCTGTATACGTAAAAGAATAAGATATTCATTGTTAGAGATGTATAAGACTTCTGAGAAAGCTAAAATAGTAAAAGATATAGCCAACTCTTGAATAATTATATATAATAATTATTATATATTACATATAATATATAATAATTATATAATTATATATAAACTCTTAAATAATTTAAGTACATCTAAAATTGATAGCAAAATATAAATAATATTTATTATTAGTTAAAGTTACTTTTGACATTCACATTTACATATCTTCTATTTTGCATATAATGATAAAGCACTTATTTGTGTCCGCTATATAAAAAAATTCAATAAATACACGTCATTTTTTCTCTTCATCATGATATCAGAATGTTCATGCCAAGAGATAGACATTAGTTTTTCAAAGGATTTTCTACTTTATATATTCTGCTAGGTCTGCATATCATCAACGGCATTTCTTTAGAAATTGTTCAAAGAAGAACGATTTTCTGGAGACACGTCAGAAACGTGCCCGTGTAATTTCTCTACTTTAAAACTACTTTGTACTTATAATCCACGTAGCAACTTTCCCGTGAATTTCCTTTATAGGTCCGTTTAACGAAGACACGAAGAGATATGCGTCAATGTAAATTAAGTGCGAAAAGCAAGAGGAAAGAGGAGAGGGAGAAAAATAAAACTTTCACCAGCATACCGCATGATATTCCTGACGCGTTGATCTCATGAGAACGAATACCCTATACGTAGTCACCGGGCGAAAATAGACAGCAAATGCGGTTCTCGACAGAATGATGTAGAGAAGAAGCAAGAGAAGTGGTTATACAAGAGAAGGATGAAGTAACGAAAGAGAAGCGAATGAATAAACCGACTATAATGCCGAGGAAACAGAGTACAATAATAGGAGACATCGATCACAAATAAAAGCGGAGGAGGAGGAAGCAAAAAGAGGAGTATTCCAGAGAGGAGACGATGATCCCGCGAGTCAATCTCGCGTGAATTCGAGTGCGATGCACCCGGAGAATCGCGAACTTCCCCGATGCACTTTTCGGATTATTTTTAACCGGCTCCCTTGCTGCGCGTGGAGATCACGTGGTGAAACGAGTTGAGAGCCGAGCCACGTTTCCGTGTTAGCCGACAGGCGAGCTTTAAAGTTCAGGGTTATCGCGCGCTAAAGACCATAATAAGAAGTCTGTTGGCCGCCCCCTACGAGCCAACGAACTCCCGTATCATCGATTTAAGTCCTTATCAAATCTACCGTGCTCCTAACGACCGTTACGGCAAATTGACTTGATAAACGGTTTCACACATGAAATTACCAGGTAGGAGTGATGGTTTCCTGAAGGAGGGCATACAATGGGCACACTCTCGCTACAAGCTGAACAATTCCCCGGATACCATTTTAATAATTCATCTGATGTTCTATGCGATAATGGCTGATATCGTTGTTATGTCTCCTTAGAAGAATATTTTATAGGAATATTCTACTTGGTCATTTTCTGTAGATATATTCGATTAGATAAATATATTCGATTATTATTCAGAATGTTTAAGGATGTTTTATCTATTTTTTATGATGTATCTATTTTCAAAATATTGAGAATTTAATGAAAATTGTACAAAATGTCCTTACATATGTTTAGAATATTCAGTGCAATTTTTAAATCGATTCACTAAAGCGTTCACGAGTTATAAGGATTTTAATTTGCATTTCTATAGATATATTCGATTAGATAAATATATTCAATTATTATTCAGAATCTTTAAGGATGTTTTGTATCTATTTTCAAAATATTGAGAATTTAATAAAAATGATACAAAATGTCCTTACATGTTTAGAATGTTTAGAATGTTCAGTGCAATTTTTAAATCGATTCACTAAAACGTTTTACAAGTTATAAGGATTTTAATTTGCACCGAATATTAACATGTGTTCTTATGGGAAACGTATAACCACGTCGATTCAAATGACAAAAACACATGGAAATAATATTCAGAATTTGTTTAAAATTTTGCAAAAGTTTAGATACAGAGGAAATATTTGGTCAAATAATATTATACAAGTGCTAACTAGTTAAAAAGATATTAAATATAATTCAATGAAGTTAGCCATGTATCTGTCACAAGGCGAAATTCTCTGCCAAAAGTTAATCATTGCGATTAACAAAATTCGGAATATTTCAGTAAAAATGCAATATTATAATATATAAAATAATATATAAAATAATATATAAAATAATATATAAAAAAATATTAAAAAATACATCTCTGCACTGTAACTAATTGTAAGATCAAATTGTAATATTCCACACAATTTCTTATACTCAAAATATATAAGTGGATATATTCGTCAATATTGATTTTCAGCTACTTTTTCCTGAGATTGTACATACAAAACATCCTTAAAAACAATCGCTTCTGCTTTTTTTCATGAATAACATCGAATAAAATAACTCTTATCTCAAAATAATTAACTTTAAGTGACTCTAAATTTTAAAAATTTGATAAATGTGCACTATAAAAGCGTAAATAAATTACCTAATGTTTCTCTCTCAGAAATACTTTCTTTCAGAGAAAACCGCATGATTTTTGTGTCTTCAAATCATTTATTTTATAAATTTATATAAATAAAAACGAGTTATTCTCTTTTTTGCCAACAAGGAAAATATATGTAAAATAATAATTTAATTTGTTTAATTAGCTGAAGAGCGAGATTATTGATAGTTCCAATGCATTCGGATGAAAGAATACAAATTCCTGTACAATTTAGATCACTAAGGTATAAATTTCACCTCTTTTCGAATTAATCAAAATGTAATTTCACATATAATTCTTATAATTGTGTAAAAATTATAAAACTACAATAAAAAAATCACGATACATTCAATTTTTGTAGATAAAGTTTTGTGCCTGCTTCTATACATTTTTTATTTTGTTTTGTACAATATATATTTTTTTTATATTTTACTTTTACAACATGCTTATTGATTTTAATTCATATTTCATGTATTTTATCATAGTTTGTAACCATTTTATGCTAGTTTCGAGGTAACATAGCGTGTTCCAAAAAGAACTAAATTAAAGTAGGACAAACGATTAATGGCTTTCAAACATCGTCAATATGTACAGTCTATTGTATAGCGCATATTGAAGTATAAAGTACAAATATTTCTACTATTGTAAATGCATATATAACATCATTGATCGTTACATAAAATGTTACAATTCTCAGATAACTTATTTCAATAGGTTATGATAAGAGAAAAAAAAGCTTTACGACGCATCCAAAATTATTATGAATCAGCGCTTGCGAAAGAAATCTATAAATTCAGTTACGCGCATAACAACATTATTCTGTAAAATAAAGCGAAAATCAGA